AGGAGGAGGAGTTTTGCTTTTAGAACTTCACTAATCTCACTGCAGATACGGGGTCCTGTCTTGACCTACAGCTATGGCAGACTGAATATTCAGCTTAGCTGGCCCTGGCACACCAGTGCCCAAGCAGCACAAAGGAGGGCTCATACCATCGCCCCATAGATGAATGGGTCAGCGCAATAGGTTTCAGTGCTGGCAGACCAGGACAGATCTAGCTCAGTCCTCCCCTGCCTGGGCACTGGCACATGTTTACTCTCGACCCCCTGCAGGGGCATGAGCTCACAGCTGCTGCTCCAGCATGTGCCATGCTGAGCCCCCAGTGCTTCTTGTGAGTCCAGCTATCAGTCCCTGCTCACCTGGGGATGGGTGTCTCCCTGGACCTCCTTGGAGATCTGCAGCGCCCTCTCATACATTCTTTGGGCCCCAGGCAGCTGTTTGTTGGCCAGGAGGTAGCGACCATATGAGTCAAGGCACAGACCAAGCAGGAGATACGTGTTGGCTCTTTCCTCTGCTGTGAGCAGGAAAAGAGATGGGTCAAAGCGCTGCCCACTTCTCTCAGGAACGGACACTAGACAGCCCCCGGAGGGGATTTTTACCAAGACCTGTCCAAGCATTGTCAAAGGATCAGCACTGAGTAATATTGCCAGAGCAGCACCCTCACGTTCCTGAGAAGATCTCTGCCCTGCCTCACCTTACTTAATGGCAAATGCAGAGGGTGAGGCAGAGGCAGCAGGTATGGCTGTGACAAATGGCAGGACAGCTGGGCAGTAAGATAGATTAAGGGCTCCGTGGGCAGGGAGCCAGTGTGAAGTGTTAGAGCCAGAGCAGACACAGGGAGAATGAAGGAGAAGGTTGGACAGTGGGGGTGGGAGTGCACAGGTGACAGGGTGGTGAAGGAAACAAAGAGATGTAAGATGGGGCAGGGAAGGGAAGGACACAGAGCTTGACTGCAGCTCATGAGAGAAGAAGCCAGTGAGGGAATGGGAGGAAGGGGCTGTAAGAGGCAGGAGAGATACCAATGGCAACATGGGAAGGTCCCTAGAGAGGCAGAAAGCTACACTGATGACAGCAAGAGTCCAGGAGCTTCCTACCTGGGAGGACATCCTCAGGCAAGTCCTTGTATTTGGCTATCTTCTCATCCAGGGTCAGGATGCAGAACTCATAGCCAGCAAGAGCCAGCTTGTGTCTGCACAGCAAAGGGCAAAGGTCAGAGCTCAGCAAAGCCAGGCCATTTATCCCACACCAGCAGCGTTAGCTCACTACCACCACACACTGGGCATTCCTGGGAGACAAGCCACATTACGGTTACCCTGAGGGTCAGTTGCTTCCTGCTGGGACCCTTCCCTCCCCTCCTAATCTGGTGGCTTGGTTCTTGGTCACCTAAGCAAACAGGCCCAGAGTTCTGGCAGATCTAGAGAAGTAGCCTCCCCCTCTTGCTCACGGGACACGGGATGGAGCGTGCCCTGCTGCTGCTCCTGGCCTACAGACAGAGCACTCGCCTACCACGCTGACAAGCCAGCCAGTCACCAACTACATTTGTAAACACTGAAATTGAGTCCAAAGGCGTTCAGCCGTTCTGTGGGTTTTCTCTGTAAGATCAATGGGATTTGTCCCTACAGCTGTTTGCAGCTATTTCCATCTCAAGTGGCAGAAGACCTAGCTGGAGAGCATGCTACAGAGCAGCTGGGCCTTGCCCTGCTGCTGGAACACAGGTGGCCTACAGGTGCCACGTATGTGACTCTCACACACACAGGAAGCTCATGAAAGTCACTGACTGAGGACTCCATGTGGAGAATACCCTATAGGATGGGGAAGCCCCCACCCCCAAGCTAGTAGAACGCCTCCACCCCTCAACACAGGACCTTTTCTCCTCCCCAGATCAGAAGTAAGAGCTTCCCCTGCCCCAAAATCACCACTGGTATCCTGGAGCTAACAATCATCTGCACTCCAGCCTCACCCCGGTACTCACTGGTTCTGAGCAGCATAGATACTGGCCAGCTTGAGAGACATTTCAATGATGGCATTGTCATCCTGTCAGGAGGGAGAGTAAGTCAAAGGCACATTAGAGGGGGCAGCCACAATCACTCCTCTCTTTGATCCTTACAGCAGAACCACTGCTTCCTCAGAGACCAGACGCAGGCCAAGATAATGCCCTATACGTGGTGTAAATGAACAGCTACCTCCAGAAGATACTGCTTGAATGGCAGGGAAGCTCACTGCCACTCCAGTACCAGCAGCTCCCCGTAGGAGGCGCTGTAGGGAATGGTGCAAGGCCACATCTTCCCCCAAGCAAGAGGTAGTGTAAGGAATGCTACAGCAGCTGTGGGGACCTCACGCCCAGCAGGAAGCCTGTGCAGAGAAGCCCTTACCTGCTTCATGTCCCCAGCCAGCAAGAAGCTCATTGCTGCTTTGAAGAGCTTCTCTGCCTAAAACAAAAGTGGAAGTATATTAAAGACCCAGCGCCCAGGGATGCTAGTGGTGGTGCTGGTGCTAGGTAGGGCATCTATGCCTGAAACTGGCCTTAGCAGAATTGTTTAGCATAACCCAGCTGTGAGCCATAATACTTAACATTGTAGGCAGCCCTCTGAAGATCTCAGACACAGTACAGGGCTCTTCACAGACTCAAGTGATAGGACTTTACTCACGCTGTCCAGCTGACCCCTCAGGAACGCAAGGTTTGCCATCTAGAAGAGAAGGAGAAAGCGCTTAGGGATGCCGAAGCTTCACCACGTGAGGCTATTGCTGACCTTAGGCTAGCTTTGCACAAAAAAGTTTCCCCCTCTTTTTACCTGCAACTTCCACCCAGCAAAAACATGTTACCAGCTGCTGAAATTACTGCCCAGTGGAGGGCAAGGGAAGTAATAGGAATATAAAAACAAGACTGCAAGGGAGTCCAGGCCCCAGCTACCCCAGCCAGCCATGTCATACAATCCCAATCATAAATGTATCAAGCTCAGAGGTTTGAGCCCATGCTTGGGACAGAGAGACCGAGACCACATCCATGGCAGCGGTGAGGACCCCGTCACACACACAGCTTTCCTGGGAGTATTACCAGGTCATAGGTATAGATGATGGCTTTCTTGTTGTCCGACTGATGGGAGAGTCGGACGGCTTCGTGCAGAATCCGCTCTGCTTCCTCAAGCTCCCCCTTCATGATGCTGAGCTGGAAGCGGAGAGAAGGGAAAATCTACGATGATTAGAGATCCCAGCATGTGGGAATGCTGATCCCAGTGTACCGGCAGGCCAAGCAAGGGTGTCACTGTGCAGGTGAACACATCTATGCCAATGCTGCTCACAAGAGCAGAGACAGAACAGCATAAACTGCCAGATGCTGCTCTGATCAATGTCATGGGAAGAGCAGTTCATCTCTGCCCTCCTTATGGACTCCTCAGTGCTAGCTGATACTTGGGCTCCCTCCCCCCATCCATGCCTCCAAGTGTCTGGACTGGCTCATTAATAGGATGCATAGCTGAGAGTGCTGAGTTCATCTCACAAAAGGCCTCCCGGTAGGCTCTCGCAGTAGAAGTGCCCAGCAATTCCTCACCAAACCAGTATGCTTATTTCACTGAAGTTAGTGTATTTAATAAGAAAGCTACGTGGGTAAAAAGTTGGGGGTCCTGGTCTGTGACTAGAGCTCTTGGGGCTGTGCAAATGCTACTAATAGTAATCTAGGGCCTTGTGAGTTTACCTTGGCTTTCTTCAAAAGGAATATAATGGTGTCTTCAGTCCCAGCACTGTCCCCTTCCTTTGTCTCTTCCTCAGCATTTTTAGAGAACAAGGAGAAAGCTGGGAAGAGAAACATTTGACTGGATGAACTTGGATCTCGGCTGTGGTGACAGCTGAGAGGGTTTTGTCCTTCTCTGCCAGGGGGAGCATGGACTTGGGAATCCCTTCAAACAGCAGGTTTGGCTCCACTGCTTGGAGTCACCCACCCAGTGCCACTTCCACCCCACTGTTACTTGTAACAGCCCCCCCATTTCCACTGCACTCACATGCAAGGATGTATCCCATACCCCACAGTACCCTGGCCCCATCACCTTCACCCCTGAGCCTTCCATCTCACGCCTTCTCCCTTCCCCACCTTCCTGCTCCCAGCCCAAGTTCCATATCAGCTCCCCTCCCACTCTGCCCTCCCCTCCTGTACCTACAGGCCAGGCACTGCCTCTCCCCACCCTGACTCCCAATAATCTCCTCACTTATCAGTCTCCTCCAACAGCCACCTCTGTCTGCCAGGTCCCCCCAGACCCCCACCTACCACTCCCAGCCCCTATCAATAACCCCCCACTGCCAGGCCCCCACCTACCAGCCCCCCAATGGTCCCCAATAGCTCCTGTGCCATCCAGGCCCCCAATAACCTCTCAGCCCCCAGCAACCCCCAATAACAGACCCCCTCAGCCCCCGACCCTCCCAGCAACTCCCAATAACTGACCCCTGACCCCCAGCAACCCCCAATCACCGACTCCCGTTGCTCTCACCCGCCAGGGCGGCCAGGACGCCCCCGGAGCTGGGCCCCCGCAGGGACCCCGCTCCCCAGGCGGCCCCGCGCCTGCCCGGGGCCTTGTCCCACCGGGCCGGTAGGCGCGCCCCGGAGCAGCGTCTCCCCGCGGCCGCCAGCAGCCCCGGCCCCCTGCGCAGCGCCGCCAACATGCCCGGCGCTCGGTCCCGGGACGGGGGAAGAGCGACTACAGCCTAAGTGGCGGGCTCTGGTCATGTGACCTGCCCGGAATCATCACCCCCCCCCACGGCGGAAGTAGCGAGTTCATGTGACCAGGAAGGGGGCCAAGGGGAAGTGACGTTTCAAGGTCATGTGACCAGTTCAGCGGGGTGGGGGCGCAGCGCTGGGGGTTGGGCCCGAGCCAGGCCCCAAACAGGGGATTGGCAGTGGTGCGGGGGCCCCGCAGGCAGGCACGTCCCCTCCCAGCATGCCCTGCGGCCCTGCAGTGACATATCCCCTCCCAGCATGCCCTGCGGCCCCGCGGAGAGGTATGTCCCACCCTGCCTTGCGGCCCTCACAGGGCGCCATGTCCCAGCATGCCATGCGGGCCAGCAGTGACACTCCCCTCCCAGCATGCCGTGCGGCCCTGCAGTGACATCCCGTCCCAGCATGCCGTGCGGCCCTCACAGGGAGCCATGTCCCAGAATGCCCTGAGGCCCAGCAGAGAGGTATGTCGCATCCCAGCATGCCCTGCGGCCCAGCAGAGTGGCATGTCCCATTACAGCATGCTGGGTGGCCCCCACAGAAGAGTGGCATATCCCAGCATGCCATGTGGCCCCACAGAGAGGCATGTCCCATGGGGCTGCCAACCCTCCAGGATTGTCCTGGAATCTCCAGGAATTAAAGATTAATCTTTAATTAAAGATTATGTCATGTGATGGAACCTCCAGGCAGACATCCAACCAAATTGGCAACCCTAATATCCCAGCATGCTGTGTGGCCCTGGAGAGAGGTATGTCCCAGCATGCCTTGATCCATCTTGAATTGAGCAGATGTTTCTGCCTGCCCCCTCATAAGTGCATCAGGGCGAGCTCATGCAAGGTGTAGAGGAGCAATGCACTTGCTGTGCCAAAAGAGACAGTGCTTTGGGTGGATGGGATGTGTGAAGGCCCCTTTGTGGACAATTCCTGGCTGTTAGTAATGATTTTAAATTAATGGAGATATCCCATTTCCTAGAACTAGAAGGGACCTTGAAATGTCATTGAGTCCAGCCCCCTGCCTTCACTGGCAGGACCAAGTAATGATTTTGCCCCAGATCCCCAAGTGGCCCCCTCAAGGATTGAACTCACAACGCTGGGTTTAAGCAGGCCAATGCTCAAACCACTGAGCTATCCCTCCCACCTGATAACCGAGTAATGATAATTGAGAGCTGAGGCTGGAGAGTTTGTCCTGTGAAGCTCTAATTCTCCAGTCCCTTGCTCCTCGGTTTCTAGGGTGGAATCACTTGACAAATTAGGCTGTCTCTGATAGTGTTGCCACCAGTCTGGGTTTTGGCTTCTGTGTCTGGCTGCCATTTAGGGGTGCCAGGTGCCTGTTTTTTGACTGGAAAGCTAGTTGGAAAGGGGACCTGGCAGTGTCCGATCAAATGTACTGACTGGACACCAAAAGTCTAGTTACTGCTGTGACAGTTTGCTCCTCCCCCCGCCCCGAATGCCACTTGATGTGCTGGGATGCCAGTGAGTCAGCCTATTCTGCCAGCCTGGGTCCCCTTTACCTGCTCTTGCTGGGCTAGGCTCATAAGCCTCTTCCAGCCAAGTACACAGGCAGGGTCACGCCCGGCTGCACAGAGAGACAGAGATCCGCTCTGGAAAGATTCAGCCTTAGGAGCTCGCCCCAGCACTCTGGTGCCCACTCCCTTTAAGGAGTACAAACCCAAAGGTTTTATGAAATTCGCCCCCTCCCTCGGTGTGGAGGAAGATATACACAACTTCTTGCCCTCCCAGTTAGAAATTACATAAAACTAGGTTATATTATAAACAAGAAATAAGTTTATTAACTACAAAATGTGACTTTTAAGTGGCAAAGAGGTAGCAAACAGAACAAAGCAGATTACCAAGCAAATAAAACAAAGCATGCAAACTAAGCTTGATTCACTAAAGAAATTGGTTACAAATAGTAATTCCTCGCCTTAGATACTGTCTTAGGTAGAGTCCTTCACAGGCCAGATATCTTTCCAGCCTGGGTCAAGCAGGTCTTTCCCCCATCAGTTCCAGTCCTTTTGTTTCCAGGCATTTTCAAGTATCTCTTTGGGCGGGAAGGCGGAGGAGAAAGGAACTGAAGACCTTGACTGTTTTCCTCCCCCATCTTATATAGGATTTCCATAAGGCAGGAATCCTTTGTTTGATTCCCCCACCTCCCAGTGGAAAAGTTCAGCAGCCCAGCCTCTGCCTGGGAGCAACCGAGACAAGTCACCGCTTGCAGGGAGCCACCTGAGGTGAGCACCGACTGGATCTGACACCCCCTCCCGTGCCCCAACCCCTTGCCCTGAAACCCCTCCCATGCCCCAACCTCCTGCCGGCCCCTCACCAATTGGATTATAAACCAGAATTTCAATGAAGATCAGGAACGACAGGTTATAGAACTTTCCGGTTGGTGAAGTGCTGGATAAAACAGCTTTTACTGTATAAGAAATGCTGATAAATAATCAGTTCCCTTCCCTTTGCCTTATCTGGGGGTTGAAATCATCCTTCATCCTAATAAACTGTCTCTAGTTACTGTTTCTGTGGTGACTATTGATTTCCCAACTTCTCCCTGCCCTCTGCTGTTTTGATTACAGGGTTCGGTTTGAGTGTTGAGGTCGATGGAGGCCACTTTGCCGGCAGTGGCAGAGGAGCTTTTGAAAGAGATAAAAAAGGCTTTCCAGGAGACCTCGCATGGTATGTGGAGAAAAGCACAGTCATACCGGGGTGTTTGTGGTGCAGTCATAGCCTGGATAAGACGCTGAAAAGCTTTGAGATCCCATGTGAAAAAAACCACTCCTGCCCCGTGGTGCCACAGTCTGTCTGTAAAGAGACATGGCTACCCATGGTGGTTTATAAATACCAATAACGTCATAGCTTTCTGGGGGTCAGGCATTCAGCATAACCTTGCTCAGATCTTCTGAGGCCCTAAGGAATATGTGGCCTTCAAAGAACATAAAGGGGCTTGAGCTTCGGAAAATGCTGAGCTCTTGCCCTTTGAAAATGGGGCTCTTTTAAAGGGACCCAAATGGGATGCCCCAAAATTGGGGCACCCAAAATCCATAGTCACTTTTGAAAATGGAGGCTGTCTCATAGTTACTCGTAAGCATCTCATTTCAGCAGCATTGTACAGCCAGTATTGTGAAGCTTTTTCGTTCTATGCCTTCAAGACTTTACTGCATGTGGGTCGTCCATACTTCCAGTTTCACCTCTGCTAGGCCAACTTTCTGAGGCTTTAAGAGGTTGAAATCCTTATTTATGGCTGCACAGTTAGCTTCAGTGTCAGTTACCTGTGGTGACAGTGCTGGAGATAGGACTCTTGAATGGGGATGCTAATTTGCATATCATTACCCAGAATTCATGTTCATGGCTATTGCCATAGCTCTTTGAGCTGTGGTCCAAGTGTAGTTTCTGTGTGCTCACAGTCTTACTAACTTCAAAGCCAGTGACAAAACAACCTATACAGAAATGTTATAGTTGTCCCAGTTAACCAGCAGAGGGCGCTATACTACTGATCATGATGGGCTTCTTGTTCAGAGGGCAGTAGCAGTAAGCAGCCCAAGCCAACAGTTAGGTCCTGGCCAATTAGAGCAGCTAGTATGGAACAATTGCTATTCGCTGCACGCTGCGTTACTGAGATATTTCTGTAACCCACGTTGAAAGAGTCCTGTGGTGTGTGTTTAGATGGCAAATAGACCAAGTGGCGCCTGCAGAAATGGAGTGTCTATTTAAAGAATATGTTCTGCCTAAGCCAGAACCAAAGGAAACAGAAATACAGGGAAGCCCATTTGACCGTCCCATTTAAAGGAATGGCACTGGATGGCTAGTTAGCATCGAAACTGCCCCAGTGACTGAACAGATTTTCCTGGAGCTCAGTGTATGTGCATTATGGGTATTGTCAGGTTAGTTTAGGTCCACAATCTAGGTTTGATTTTGTTCCATTTTATAAAGGATTTTGTACAAAGGTAATGTGAAACCAACAAAAAAAAATAATCAAGAAGGGCTTTTTAATATCCCCTTGGAATGCTGGTAACATTGTACTGGGACCTGAGAACCAGAAAATGAAACCAACCAGTCTAGTTTCATTATCCAAATTGAGTAAGGTTGGAAAAGTCAGCTAACTTCAGCCGTGGAGAATACATTAGACTGTTAGAATATTTACAGTTGTAATGATCTAAAGTCCCAATCCCTGAGTGACATCCACGTGGGTAGACCCCCACACCCACCCTGAATCCCATTGGAGGTAACTAAAGGATCAGATTGCAGGATCGGGGCTAAACTGTTAAGTAAAACAGGTTGAGGATTTTTTTTAATGTAATTACTCACTTTAACAAGTACTCCTGTTAAAAAGAGACATTTTTCTATGCTCAAAATCAAAAGCTACAAAACATGGGAGATGTCCGAGACTGTGCTGGGAAAGGAAAAGCACTGTTAAAAGACTAGAATTTATATGCCACAAATTTATCAATTGATTCCAAGGTAAAATTGCAAGGGAATCAGCCTGGTAATGTGAAGTGCAAGTTGTTAAAACCTTCAGGCGTTTCTTACAATTTTTAGATGTAGGATATTAGAAAAGTACATGTATTTGTGGCTCCATATTACTCTTTAAAATTCATCACTGCAGCTCTGAATCATTTTTAAAAATGTCTGCACTTAATGTAGGTCCTACATATAAGAAGTCATATTGAACATGCACAGTTTTGTTTGTGTGTGTGATCTACATAAGGAGTGGCAATTGGTTGTTAGGTTGATTTAAAAAGAAATGTTTCAAAGGCATTGGGAGACTCTTGTGACTATATTAACTGGGGAGAGCCCAGCATACTGTGACTGGCTTCTGCTCAGGGGTGCATATCTGGGGTGAGATCTGATGCTGGAGAGGGGCCAGGACTGGAATAGTGGGGAATGTTGCAGATCAAGATTAAGGGACACCTGCAGAACTGTGTGTGAGGGACCCGGGTCTGAAATAGCAAAGGATGCTTCTGCTGAAACGAAAAGACACCTCATTGTTTTCAAATCTGGTGCAGTCTTGCGCAGCAGCTAGAACCTAGGAACTTGACTGTTGGCCCCTCCATCTCATGAGGATCTGTGGATGACTCGTCTGAAACCATTCCAGCCCAGCATCCCCTATTGCTGAGCCCAGGAGTCAGCAAAAATCGACACTGGTTTTTGCACCCCACAAACAGAGTTCCCCCCAATGCACTGTCCATGTGTTTTTAATCTGAGCAAACAGGGGCTACCTATTGTGCTTTAAGAGGTAGGAGGGTCATTCTTCACTATCAGCGTCTGCCTGGGATTCTGACACCATCACCACTGTGGTCATGTATTGTGAATTCTCTCCCCTAACAAACCACTGCACTGCTTCCTATATCTCTCTGTGGTTAAGGAGGTTGGATTGATCACTGTAGGGAACAATCCTGCATGACCTATGGGGATGGACAAAGTGGAGCCCACGGGGCCTCTTTCTGTCTCTGATTTCAAAGGATCTTTTGCAAAATGTTTAGCAAAATGAAATGTCTTTGTCTTTTTGTTGCAGTTTCTGATGATCTCCTGCTGGCGTAAGTACTTTCTGCTCTGCTCCTCATCCCTTCCTAGAGGGCACTCTCAAGTACGTTATAGTTTGCTTTTTTCCCTCTGCTGCCTTATGTCTTTTTCTGTTTGACCAGCAGGCGTTTCTTGTGAAATGTAACTAAATTTTTAGCAGATGGTGGAATTGAATGTACAAGCAGCCTATTTGGGGGGTTTCCCCGGGGCTCTTCAGGTTCCCCAGTGTCTCCCAGCCATAGTCTGAGCTCGTGTTGTAAAGCATTCTAAGCAAGGATGGATTGGACATCCAGGGACCTGGGAGATCTCTCCAGAGTCTTAAGGCCAGGTTCAGACCAGGTGTAAGGAGATATGACTTCAGTGAAACCAAAACTTTCTTTCCAAATCACCCTTCCAGAGCTTCACATCTCCTGATGCCTTTATGCTGTTGTGAGCACAGCAGCTTCTTTGGGTTGCTTGATAGATGTCAGAACTGTTGATTTCTTTCTCAATCTTAAAAGTGAAGAGGAAGGAAAAGAATCTCATTGTAAACTGAGTAAAGTTATTTTAGTGGAATTCCACTGATAACTTAATAACTGTTGATTATTAACTACTGTCCCCTGCCCCCGCTAAGTTGCCACCAATGCCCTCTGGCTCAGGAATATTCTAATTCTATTCCTGAATCTGTTCTGAATCTCACCTCCTGCAGGCACTGCATTTCAACTTGGCCGCTGAGTTATTTCCTGCTAGTACAAAGACGTATATTGATAAAACTATATTTAGGGAAAAATCTCCAAAATCTCTGCAACAACCATTGAAATTCATTCAAATCAACCCGTCCCAACCGTAAACCCAATCTAATCATTAAGGAATGTGTCATGCTGGGAATCCTTCCCAACCTCCCACTCTTTCCTTTGATGAAATCGCTCCCTGTTTGCTTTGAATTTCTGCCTCTCCTCCAAGAGTAGGTCTGGCTGTTCGGCATGTAATCAGTGACGTAGACTTGCGCCAGTTGTGCTGCTGAGAACGTAGAGCTCTGTCTCGGGTTCGTTGTGTCTTGACGGGGATCAAGCACATTCTTCCCAGAATAAGAGGCTTTTCTGCTTCCTTCTGTTCTTGTTTTTAACCATCTCTTCCTTCACACATCTCCTTGTTTGTTGTTTACCTTTGTGACTGATCCAGACTGCACGGGTTTTTCTCTGTGGATAAAGGGTCGATAAAGCTTATCTTTATTACCTCTGAACTCTTTGGAACGCAGTCAAACCAGCAGGATGTACAGATCCAAAATAACTTTTAAGCCTCTGAGCTGTTTGGACAACAGGTTAAGGGCTCAGGTATCCATAGCTGGCACACAGTTAATCATATAGCCCTACGTGATGTCTAACACATGCAGATAAAAGCCTTTCTGCAGGCGTGCTGAATGGAACCGCCTCAGAAGGAATACAGAAACTCTAGTCTCCCAGTGGAAGTCACGAGCGTCCGCCCCTGCTGACAAATGTGCATCATCACAATGGAACAGCAGGAGGAATTCTCTAGTCATTTTCAACCCTTGGAATATGAGCAGGAAGCATCCGGATAGACTGTCACTGTGCCTGGGCTTAGCCATATACAGGGGAGAGAGTGAAGTATTTCTCCCTGGCCTTCAGCTTTGTACTTTCCCAGCTTGCTTTGGGGCGAAGCAGAGCGCTGACTTACGCCTCAGTTATGAGACTCAGCCTATGACACGACCATTGTAAACTAATCCGATCTCATGCTTCAGGGCATGAGCTAATTTCTCCTGGGGTCAGGAAGGCGTCCCCTTGCCCCATCCTCTGTTGCACAACAGACTCATTCATTTCCTCCTTAGTATGAGGCATCAAGTGTTGGTCACATCTGGAGGCAGGAGTCCAGACTGACTGGACCAATGATCCCACCTGGGACAGTGACCCCTGTGCATGCTTAGGCTGCTCTGTGTGCCAGAAGCACCAGTTCCTTTTCCCCATGCCCACACGCTTGGTTTTTCTAACGCTGCTCCTGTTTGCACCCTCACTGATAACTGATCTGACAGTGCGATGGCTCTCTGCTGTCTGTCAGAGTGGAGTGCAGCCAGTGGGCCTGTACTTCTTCCACTTGCCAACTTCAGCTGCGGGGGGAGTTGGCGCTTGGCTCCTCTTCCAGGGCCCGACATTAGGTTTTTCGTACCAGCTCTCCCGCTGCGACTGCCAGGAGTGCCGCTCCCCTGTGGGGAAGTCTCATGTAGACAGGGCAGCTGCTGGTGTATTTTTTACCATGGTGTTATCTAGACCCGCTCGGAGCAGGGGTAGGTGTCACAGTGGTTTAAATGCTAGTGCTTTGGCTGTACTGTGGCTTCCACTCTTGCAACTGCCAAAGGCTGCCCTGGTGATAGCAATGCTGAGAGCCTCCTGTAGACACCCCTGTGGATAAAGGAAGCCTGGGTCCCCTTCCCTCATGCCCCATTTGTGATCATCAGTGGTCCTTAAAAGGACACTATCAAGTTAAAAATCCCCCGTTAAAGCCAGACCCTTACCTGTGTGGCTGATAATAGCTTGTGTCCGCAGAGTTCAAAGACCAGACCTGAAATCGATGCCCCTTTTTTCACTTTAGTTGGAGACAGTGACCATTTCACTCTCTGGGCCTCTTGCGCTTGGCCAGAGCTGCTGGGTTGCAGGTCACAACACTGGAGAAGGGACGTGTCCTCCCCATATAGAACCTGTTATTTGTCAGCTTTAAAGAAGAAAATTTTCAAAAACAATTTATTTTAAATTAAATCTTATTGCGGGGGTTGAAAAATCTTGGGGGATTGTTTGTGATTGGGATGGAAAGCGGGGCAGTGTCTCTCTCATGTTCTTATCTTCCACCCTAGACATGAGAATATGAAAACCTTATGGATCCTCTCAGTGGGTGGGATCTGCCCCTCCAGAAACTGCCCCACATGCCAGCAGCAGTCTCCAGCAGCCAGGTTGTCTCCTGGAGTTGGGGCTGGGATTGGCAGTCCCGTGGGAGAACCTGAAGAAAGGAGAGAGAATGACCAATGTGCTTCGCTGCTCCTAATCAGGTTTTATTTGGGGGCGTTGAGCACATCACACTAAGGCGGTGCTGGGATGTTTGCCGAACACCTTTAGAGATGCACTGGGGATCCCTGGCCATACACATCGTGGGCTCTGCTTGGTTCAATGACCTTTTAGAAAGAAACCTTGCTCCCATCAGAGCCAATGACAAGACTCCAATTGATTTCAAGAGGAGCAGGAGTGGGCCCTACATTTGCAGCACAGCCTAACCCAGGGACCTCTTCTCTTCTAGGCTGAAATTTGTATTTGGCTCATCTGCTGTGGCGGCCTTGGATTTGGTTGATCAACACTCAGTCACGCGAATCGTGTCTCCTAGTGGAAGGGCCGTGTACCAGGTACAGACCAGGCTTTCTCCTGGCTCACTCACAAGTTCTCTAGTCTCTTTTGGTTGCTGTCTGCCCACGTGGCCCTGTGCCACGTCGAATAAGGAAATGCACTGACTGCTTCAGAACCTCCTTAGGTAGAGAGGGCTGTGACATGGAAACATAACGCATCTTAAGCCGAGACAGGAGAGCCATAGTGCCAGGGGTAATGTAACCCCCGCAGCATAGAACGGTGCATTACACCTCCCCGAGAAGCATCCAGCTACTCCCAGAGACAAGACCATTCGTCTGGCCTGAGCTAGCAGCTGCCTGTGCTCTATGGATACCGGTGTTAGGAGGATGTTTTCCGGGGATCACTAAACCATAGAGTTTAGTATTTTCATCATGTCCCTCAAAGTTCTGTATCACTTCTGTCCCTTGGGAACCTTTGGACAGGGCCCCAGCTCTGCAGAATAAGCTTTGATCCCATTTTAACCCATCACAATGTGTCCCCTGAGTGTCCTGAACTCTGTGTCTAGCAGCGTGTGCTACCAACGGGGGGGTCACTCCCTGCCCAGCCGGGGGCCATGAACTAGTGACTTCACTGCCCGCGGAGGGAATCTGCTGCATCTGGAAGCTGTTTAGGGAACTGGTGTGAATTGAATCAGGGGGCACAGTTCAACTCTATATCATCACAAAAACCACCATAATAATTGGCATCCTTGGCAGAGAAGCGAAGGTCTGAATGGGCCACAGCGATCCAAGTGCCCTTGCCCACAGAGTGGGGTCCTCCAGGGCCAGGATTGAGACCTGTTAGTAAAAGGGGCTGATGTGTGGAGGCTCCCCACGCTGTGCCTGTTGGGGGATAAACAGGACTGCCGTCCCCTTCAGTGCCAATGCAATACCTTGCACCAGGCTCAATGCACCTCTGAAGAACGACAAACTCTGCCCTTGGTGTTGGAACAGCCCTGAGTGGCATCCCCAGCCGTCTTCCCTACAGCTGCAAACGGGCCGGGCTGAGATGTGCTGCCACCTCAGACCCTTCTGTTTAACTGGGGATAAGATCCAGTCGCTCCCTTTGCCCTGGATAAGGGTGATCGTTGTCACGTATTCAGGGGCTGTGGTGTTCAAGTCACAGGAGGAGCTTTCGCTGTTCTTGGGGACTCCGGAGAGTGTGTGGGACCCACCTGTAAGACCCAATTCATAAACCCAGGGGCCTAAGAACACGGCCTCTGGGCTGAGTTGAGGGGTTGCGGTTGCTTGTTGGTGTTTCACAAGGACTAAGTGCTGCTTCCAGGGCCCTGAGGCAGCGGCTGTCTCTCGGCTCCAGTGATTCTTTGGGATGACGCCTCCTTTATTAATTGGAGGCCTTGAGGCTTTTCCTTCCTTGTTGCTGCTCTTATTAAATACCTAGCCTGAAAAGCCCAGCCTGGGAGCTCCCAGGCTCTGTGCTGTGTGTTTTTTAGGGCTAAGATGGAGCATTGCATGCTGGGATGTGACGTCTTAACCAGCTGCACCTACATATTAAGGCTATGGGGAGCAGCAATTTGGACCATTTTATCCCAGCTCTGTGCAGCCTTTGAGCCCTTTGCTGGGCCCAGGTTTGGACTCCTCTAAGTGGCTGCAGGCAGCCTTTGAAATGAACCCCCATTAAGCTGAGGCAGTGCGGTGGGGAGACCCCAGCTCCGCCTTCGTGCTTCTCTTTGTCCATGCAGGCTCAGCTCACCTTGCAGCAGCTCCTCGTGGCCAGCGGGGCTGGACACTTCGCGTGCTGTAGCTCTCCGAGCCCCTGGGTTTCCATTCCTTAGAGGTAGCTGGACAGCGTAGTGAGCATGCGTGCTCTATATGTGTTATTAATGCCTTGTGTGTGGCATGGCCAGCTGTCTGACTGCCGCCCTCCCGTCTCCTGTTAGCAATGGAGAGCTCTTCCCCGGCCTGGGCCGCTAGCGCTGCCACTGTGAGGAAAGGCTGCATTGGAGGAGATCCTTCTCCCTCCACCCGAGCAGCTCTGCTCCCTAGCTCAGTGACGTGGGGCGTTTCTTTGTGATACGTCCAGTGCTGAAGGCCCAGCCGAGAGCAGGGCCCCGCTGTGCCGGGCACTGCACAAGGAGAGTGAGCGAGTCCCTTCCCCAAAGAGCTCCCAGCCTTGATCGTCAGTGACCGGGTCCTACAAAGGGGCAGCTTCGCCCTTCTGGATGCTTTGGGGTGTTTGCCTGGCAAGCCGCCTACCCAGCTAGTGCACGTGCCCTCTCATGTGTTTGCCCCTCTGAGGGCCAGCTCCTACTCCCATTGAGTGGAGTAAAACCCCACTGACTTCAGGGCAAGATGGACCAGGCTCTTTGCTATGTGATTGCCTTTGACAATCCCCAGTGGGACCAACCAATAGTTACAGTTTTCCTTTACGGATTATCATTCGCTTACGTAGCCCAATTAATGGATTTTCACTCACAAGAAGAGATTTCAGAGCTGCTCCCCTCCCCGCTTCAGGAGGCAGAATCGGAGGCTGGTTCCTGTAGGGGAAAAGAGCAGCAAGTCTTGGCCAGTGAGCAGAGGGTTAGACAGACAAGCCAAGTGGCCAACCCACAGGCGCTGATAAGTGAAAAGCCCCGCCCCTGCTCCACTCACCCTATGTCCAGCAGCGGTCTGGTCTTTCCAGCGGTATCAGAGAGGAGGATGGGAGTGGGATGGCAAAGGGGAGTGAGGACGTCTTCCCAGATGATAAATAGCCTGGGGGCTGGGCGTGCGTTTCTCAGCCGCTTTCCTTTTCTGGGGCGGGGGATTGCTGCTGCTGTAATGTCTTTGCTGTGGAGGCCTCTGGAGAGCTGTTCTCTTGGAGGTCTTGAAGCTCCATTGCAGCGCTCCTCCTTGCAGCTGTATCCACCGTTCCAGAGGTGCTGAGGCAAGGGGCAGAGCCCCCCAAGGACTGTGACTGGAGCCGAGACAGGAATGCAATCAGGGGCTTTGTCAAGGCCACGTCACTGAGGCAGCGAGCAGCATGCGGAGTAGCTCTGGATGGGTGCATTGTCTCACAGCTCATTACCCTCTCATGGGCCGGATCCATTGATGGCTCAATGCTGATGTGACCAGCTGAGAAGAGCCTTGTCAGTGGGCCAGACTTCCTGTGTGCGCTTCCTCCTAACAGAGGAGAGGGTCTGCTGGGAGCGAGGGGAAAGTCCTCAGCGGGGCTAGATAATGCATAGATCTACCTATCAGACAAACAAGTCTTGGACTTGCCCTCAGGAATGGTGCCCCTGCAGCCCAGGGCTCGGACGCGGATGGGAAGGGGTGTCAGTGCTAATGGACTGTACCAGCCCCCAGTGCTGCCTGTGGTCCATCATCCTGGGTACTGCTTCAGAAACAGCCTCCTCCTGGCAGGGCCGGCTCCAGGCACCAGCTGAGCAAGCTGGTGCTTGGGGCAGCAGATTGTTCAAGGCAGCGTTCTGCCCAATCCTAGGGCGGCACGGCCGCTTTTTTGCCTCCCAGACACACGCCTGATACAACTCCCTGCAGTGTAGATCACTTTTCCTTCTAGCTGCCGAGGTGGGCCAGAAACTGGCCTCAGCTTAATTTCCCCATTCAAGTGAAAGCAGCCCTTTGCCCCTCCTGCTCAGTACGGCAGTGCAGGGATCGCATGGCTAGCAGCTCCAGGCCTCGTGTTACAACTTCAATTTGGACTCTCTAGCCTTCATCTGAAGGGCTCTCCTAGTGCTCACCTGAACTGCAGCCTGTGGGCTAAACCCAGCTCCCTGGAGCTCTGGAGTGGGGATGCTTCAGACCCGCTGGTGACCTCAACAAGCAGTGTCTCGTCATTGGTCAGCGGAGACACAAGCACCAGCCAGCGGCAGAGCTACAAGCCGTTATTTGGGTGGGTTAAAAAATATGCAAATGTAGATGGAAGCTTTGGGATCCTGGCAATTGTCAATGCGGCCCTTAATGTAGCGAAGTCCGGGTACCGGTTAGCCACACCCAACGTGACCAGTGACAGGTACTCAGCGAGCCATGGAACTGAAGCCAGCCAGCGGGAATGGGGTGAGATGGCAAATATTTTTCTCCTCAGGGTCAAGCTCGGACTAGGCATCTGAAGCCTGTTCCATCCCTCCTGCCTATCTTCCCCTTGCTCCCTTCAGCTGTTGGCCTGGCCTGATCTGTTTGCTTAGTGTTGATCGTTCACATCCTGCATCTTTATTAGATTATTTGTTTAAATATATTTTCATTTTCATTTCCTAGAACTCTGTGGCAGCCTGCCCCGCTGTCTGTAAACAGATTAAAATGCTCATGTGGAAATGTCTGCTCCGCTCCTGGGCTTAGCCATATGGTGCTGGTTAATCAGATGCTGGTTGCAGGGAGATGGTAGATGATGGAGGAACCTGGCATTTGCTGGGGTGGAACACTACTCACCTGACGCTTCCCCAGATGCCTGTGCAGCCAGTTTTCCAGCACTGCACTATCCCTGCCTCCTGTGCTGGTTTCCCCTGGACCTCGTCTTATCTGTGCCACAGACATACACAGTAAGAGAGGAAGGTTTGCAAGTTTAAAAACTAGCTCCTGGCTGCCTTGGTTCTTTGTGCTCAGGAGCCTTTTCCGACGTGGGACCCACAGCAGAGCCTGGCTGCATGTCTGGTGACTTCCACCTCTTCCCGCTCACCGGCCATGCAAGTGGAGTATGTGCTCCTGTCTCTGAGGTCAGGATCCAGCCTTATTCACTCCATTGGCTCGACGTATGTCACAGGAACCCCAGGGTGGTTTCCTCTCGGAAGCTGCGTTTTGGTTGGGTTTGATCCCTCTGAGTTCTTGTAGGAGGGGATGGACAAGCCCCTGGGAGTTTGCAAAGCAGCCCTTGTTTCCCCAAGACTGGAGAGAATGATGGGAGGAGACAGCGCAGCGTCTCAGGCGGAGGGAAGGTCTGGCTGCCGCATTTCAGTGCTGCGTGGCCCATGGATTTGAGATTCCACCTGAATCAGAGAGTCGTGAAAGGCCTGTTCTTTCTGGGAGGGGCAGCCAACGCCACGGGGGAAATGCTCAACCAGAGCAATGCTGGCAGTTTCTGAAGTCGGCTGAGGGAAAGTCGCCATCGAAATACTTAATCTTGCAAGCAAACAATCAAACGGGACAGAAAATAACAAGCCTATTGCAAGTGAAACAAACAGTGTGGAGTGAAGGGGAGCCCAGGGCAGGCAAGGTGAATAACCAGTCTCTGATCAAAGCCCAGTCTGCTTCATAGTGTAAACACACCCCGGCTACCATTTCTGCTCCCCTCCAGGCCCAGACCAGCTGGGAAGCAATCTAAAAACCAGATTGGGGATGGGGAGAGAGATGAGTGCTCCCAAGTAAACTATTGAGCCGGCCCCTGGGACAGTCAGTCGGTCGGCACATGGCTGGCAGGGAAAGTGGAGCTGCGGTGCAGAGACGTTGCTTTCGGGATGGCAAGCGGAGCACTGGATTTGGAGGTGGGATAGTGTGGGTGTTAGGAGGAGGCTAGAAGGAGTGCAGTTTCCTGAAGATGGATGTCAGTGCGCAGGATTCGGACAGTCTCTGCTGCTCACTGTTAACGCAGGGGACGCTGTCTCGTGTGCGTGACTGGGACCGAGCCAAACCAAAGCTTGCTGCTCTGTGGGACTAGCGCAAAGAGTGTTTGTGGGGTCGTTGGAGCCAGTCAGGGCCCCTTCCTTACACAGCAAAGCTTTCCAAGTCCCATATAAACCCCGTGTGGACACGCTTAGTCCAGGACAAGAGTGGGGGGTTTTGGTTTTGCTTAAACCCCTCAAAAGCAACATAAGCCGGTGCTGGAAAAGGCCCGTGCTGGAAGAGGAGCATTCCCGTGGGGATTACACCAGCATAACTCCGGCCTTTCACATTCCCCCCGCAGCATGGATCACTCTAACCCTCCGACGGGTAGACAAGACCTTCGACGTCAATGGAGTTGTGCTGGGGGTCGGGCCCATGCCCGGTAACTGGGCGGCTTTAAAGGAGATCAGGATGGAGACAGGTGCGATTGGTTGTGATTTCTGTGAAGCATGGACGACAATAATAGTTTAGTCTGCCCACCCAGGAGCTCGGTGAGAGATTCCCGCCCACCCAGGCCCTCTAAATAACCTTGTGCAGTTGGCTCCGGGTGAATCTAAGGGAGGGGATTCCCCCTTCCTTTGGATTACCCAGGAAAAGCTGGGCCAGACACAGGATACCAGGGGGGACCAGCTATTGAACTTCCCTGGCATTAAGGCCAGGCCAATCCCCTGCCTGCATCTGCAGGGCTGACAAATGCTGCTTGAGCATAATGTGAGCTGCACACATAGGCTGGACTGGATTCAGATCTCGGAAACTGGGGCACCGTTATTGTAGCCAGATTTACACTGGTGTAACTGAGAGCGTAATCTCTCCCCACCCTGTGCAGCAGAGGGGCAGGAGGCTCAGGGGAGAGCACCTGATGGGATTAACTCCTCCAAGCCCTTTTCCTGCCTGCCAGAAGTTAAAAGCAGGAGGTTCTGGGATGGCTTTTTCAGGCTGTTCACGGCAGTCCGAGCAGCGGCCAAGAGTGCATCTTGCCTGTCTGCTTCCCTGCACTGAAAACATGCCCCTCTGCCGAGTGAAGGGGCGGCACATGGGAAAGGGACGCAGAGACTTTCCCCTGAAACGGTCCCAGCACAGAGACAGAACAGCGAGGCCCTTTCTCTGGAGACCTGAACTTTGTTTATTCAAGAAAACTGAAATCCAACAACTGCAGCTGCTTGTGGCAGCCAAACAGCCAGACCCCCCTCATGGCTTCCAGCCATTGCAGCTGGCTAGGAGACGAGTCCCCGGCAAGGGCTCCCTTCTGGTTTATTTCCACCCCCTGTCCTTGGGGGCCCGGGGCTCACAAACTCCCTTTGTCTGGCATAAGATACAAGAGGTTTGTCCGCCCCTTCTAGCCCCTGGGAACTTGCTGGATGGTCTGAAGATCTGGGATAGCCTTGAGGGGTTTTACATTCCTCTCCATCCGCTGAGAGATTGGAGCCTAGCTCCGGTTTGGTGTGAGAGGGGCCATGTGTTCAGCGGCAGCAGAGTTCTCTTAGTCCCTGGGCAGTAGAATCTCAGCTGGTGCAGAGGAGCGCTGCAGGCCCATCGCTGCCCAGTTGGCAGCCCCCGTCCCCAGTGCACAGGCTGTAAGTCAGGGAGTGTTTGTGGATAAGAAGGCAGGGTATTGTGACAAATCTGTGCTTTGGGGCATGCTTGGAAGTTAGTTGGGGCAGTGGGGACGGAGGACAGCCAGCCCCTTGTCTCTGGCATTTGTCAGACAGAGTTTTCAAGACAATCAGCAGCCAGGTTGGCCCACTTCTCCT